CTAAATGTTTTTGTTATTAGTAACTGTTGGGGTCGGATTTCACCCACTCAACGTCAATGTTCAAAGTTTGGTTAACATAACAAACGTACATTGAATCATGTTGATATCTAGAGAATATATGGTTCCTAAGTCGTTTCTAGAAAAGTCTTCTCCGATCCTAACTCCTCTCCGCTTGCAAGGCGAAATTTTCTCCGCGTGCGAGGTGAAGTCTTCTCCGCCTGCGAGGCGAAGTCTTCTCCGCTTGCCAGGCGAAGTTTTCTCCGCCTGCGAGGCGAAGTCTTCTCCACCTGCGAGGCGAAGTCTTCTAAGTCTTGCTTTCATGCAAGAGAAAGCATCAACACAGGGCCACCGATTACTTTGATAGGGTGACACCGAAGACTCTGGCAGAGATGCCACCGAAGACCCCTACTTTCACCTCGTAGGAAAGATCATGTCTTCGTCTCGCGGGAAAGATATCTTCGCTCCGCAAGAAAGACCCGAAGACTTCCTGCGTTGGGCTTCAACCCAAGCCAGTTGAGAGGACAAGCCCAGATATCTCTAGAAGATATGTATATCAGCTACGAAGCGACGTCGTAACAACCGCGGGAGCTTGGAGTCTCAACGCTGAAGCCCAGTCCAGTTACAAAGCCCACTTCGGTGCAACCGACATGGACGAAAAGGAAATCTGCGAACACTTAGGAAACTTAACATAATCCTTTATGGAAAACCTAGCCGACTTAGGAACACTATATATATATCGATGTATAAACCCTTGTAAAGGTATCCGCAACTTTGTTCACAAAAGCATACACAGCAAAAAAAACTTTTCATTGCTCATCGTTTTCTCTCGTAGCTTAACTTAGAAATATCTGCTTCCTCTCGAAACCCTTACAAATCTAATTGTGCTAGTCTTGGCTCCCACAATTTGGCACCGTCTAAGGGGAGTTAGAGAATTTCTCACACAAAGAAGCTATGTGACACCATAGATCTGAGATCTAGAAAGATGAGGGACAAAGAGAACAAATCAAGCAGCAGCGCCGAAGAGTCCTAGTCTCAGAGAACCAACCGAGTGGAGCAGAACTCCGTCGAAGTCCCTGCTACCAACGACGCTGCTAACCCAGGAGACATGACCGAGGTCAAGCAGATGCTGCAAACGCTCCTCAAAGAGTCCAACGAACAGAAGAAGTTCAACGAGGCAACTACGAACGAGCTGAAGGCTCTTTCGCGAAGGAAGCGCGAAAGACCCGACACGACAAGACTAAGGGGTCGCTTCGACCCGCGTCGCCTCAATTTCTCAACACAGCATACTACTCGAAGGGATCGGGGTGACTTGCCGCCACCACCGCCATGTCGAGAATCTGAGAGAACTCCCGAACATTACGTGGAGATCTCAGACGAGGATCAACCAGCTCCTCGAAGACGTGCGCGAACAGACAGTGCATGTGGTAACCCACGAGAATTGCGCGCGTCACATAGTCGGAGCACGTCGTCTGACTCTCGGACAGAAATCATGCAAGACACATCGGGGTACGATGACTACCCTAGCACCAACGATGAAGGCGGGCCTTCCGTAGCAGAGCAATACAAGAGAAAGCAGGAGCGTAGAGCGCTAAAACGGTCTCGAGATGCAGAGTTCGCTGCGATAAAAGCTCAGATAGAGCGGGTTATCTCCGATCTAAAGACTATGCAATCGCAGTTACACCGTGGCGCGCGAAAAGCTCCTGGGATCGCCTATGTGCTCGAGAAGGCACGGAACACGCCCTTCGCCGAGCGGATCGCGAGGACTAAAATCTCTGATCCCAGAAGAATCAAGTTACCAATCTATGAACGAATCACAGACCCTCCGGACCATTTGATGGAGTTCGAGGTGGCTCTAGGGAGAGCAAACTTCAAAGAA